GGAATTTGGGATATTTTTATTTTGAATTCATCAATTAGGTTCTAATGTTCTTTGCTTATATATATATATTATTAAAATATTGCTATAAGTGTAAAAAAAAAAACTAATTATAAGACCTCATAATAATTAGTCGTTTAGGGCTTCAAGATTCTCATGGCTAGCCCTGGTGTTTGGATTATTGGATTAGAGGAAAATTTGTTTGCATTGCCACCCTATTGTACAGATTTTGTGGTAGAACCGTAGAACTGTAGTGGTAGGATTAAGCCTCTATTTGATTCCTTTTACTTTAATTTATTTATTAAACTCATTTTTAAGTATACATTCCCACAATAAAATATTTTATACGTAAATATAAAATTTTTTCCCATTTTTTAATCATACATTCTACAAAAAAATACTATTTATTATTATTTTTTTTTAAATTTTAAGGCTACCAAACATGGGCTAAATGTGTTTGTTGTGGAAGATTTTGTGAGATTTTGTTAAGTATAAATTATGTAAATTAAGTGGTAAACGGGTGTATACATGGAGCATAACTCATTGGTTTAGGTAGGGTAGGGGATTTTTATGGAAGCAACATATGAATTAAAATAACCTAATTTATCGCTTTCATTCAATTAATTATTTTTTAATAATACAATTTAAATTGAAAACCATAAAAATACAAATAAAATTATAAAGAGTCGAGCACGAAGTTGAGGAGCGGGCTATTCGAGTCGGGGGCAGAGATTTTGCTAACCCACATTATATTTATATGTGCGTTTGATGGATATTATTGAGAAAAGAATGTATTTTAAATAGTGATATAATGTGAAATATGTGGTTAAAAAGTAAGGAAAAATTATTGATGTGAAGGAAAATATTATTTTATTGAAAAATGTGTGGTTGAAAATGAGTTTTGAAAAAATGTATTTTGAAATAATATGTGTGAAACAGGGGCTAAATGTTACATTTTGAAATCTAAGAGCATCTCAAATGTATTTCATGGATTGCAATTTAGATGACCTTTAAATAAAAAGACTTCCGATCTACGTGGTGTTATGTCTAATTGATAGATGGCCTAGTCAAATTTCATCTCTAATTGGTTTTGTTTATAATAAATTTACTCTATTGTATGTTTAATTGGAGAGAGAAATATCAAATTATGATGACTCGCTCCATTTAGAAGTATCTCTACATTTAGACGATTCTATTGACAATAACTATTTTTTTCTTTTCATGTTAGTTAGACATAGTTCTAAACATGTTACTTTTGAGAGGGACTTTTATGACTATTATCTATTTTAATTTATGTGTCGAACTTCATAGTACAATTTGCATTAACGTTATAGATGTTAAAGAGGTCATTTTTCAAAAAAATTGCTAGTTGAAAACTTAATTCTAAAAGTCATCAACAAAATAATTTATATAAAAGTAAATTTGGTATCTGAATTTTTATAAAATTTGATTAAATATATAATTAAAAATTGATAAAAATAAATTGTGTAGTTGAAAATGAATTTAAAAAAATGGGTGCCAAATAATGATAATTAGCACCGTGTAAATGCTAAATTTACGCTTTTCTTCCAATTAATGCTATTTGTATCCTTTTCCCAATTCAGTAGCCCAATCTCCAACGTCTACAGTTGATTTCCACTTTTCCTCGTCCTACTTGAGGAAGATTCCAGAATAGAGAGGAAGACCTTTGCTCTGTTCACTAGTCAACTCAAAGTTCTGATCTACATTCAATTCCTCATCCAGAATTTCCCTTACTCAATTCTTCTCTGCACCAACTATGGCGAGTGAAATAGCGGCCAAAGCACAAAACGCGTTTGTTGATGATGATTTTGAACGCGCCGTTGATCTCTATACTCAAGCCATAAAGCTTAATCCTAATGACGCCGATCTCTTTGCTGATAGAGCTCAGGCCAATATCAAGCTCGGATACTTCACTGGTGCTGTCTACTCTTGCTTCTTTATTGAAATTTTCTGTGTCAATCAATTAAAACGCAAATATATTTTGTAATTTAGGGCTTTTGAGCATTAATTTTGATTTAAAAAGTCTGTTATTTTAAGTGATTGGGCGTGTTCATTTGTGACGGCGATTTTTCCTTGAATAGTGTAGTTTCCTGATAATCTATTAATGTATTCGTCCTTAGTGATTTTATGTGCAATATCTTGACAGAAGCTGTTGCTGATGCAAATAAAGCGATTGAATTGGACCCCTCCATGGCGAAAGCATACCTGCGCAAAGGGTATCTCCAATTTTACCTTTTGGGTTTTATATTTTCTTTCTTCTGTTAAATGGTTATGCTCCGCATGAAAATTGATAAAAGTGTTAATCTAATCTGACGGTGTTTGGTCTCGTTGGAGGTCTACTGCTCCTGTGTATATATCCTTTCAGGCTAGGTTATTGAACTAAGAATAGTATAATACTTGTCCAGCGTCCCAAGAGTAGAATAATGATCTTATATTGACAAGCTTGTTGGCCATAGCACGTAAAATTTTGTCTGCTATCAGATTTTGTAAGATTTCCGTGATTATTACCTAAAAAATTAAATTCTCAGTAGCTTCAGGTACAACTCACTTATGTAGAGATGGTTATCAAATAATAATCAGAATATATTAGCATACCGAGGGTCTGGTCATCAAATATTTGTAGATTACCTAATAATTGGAATATATGAGAAAACCCTCCTAAAACTGCAATGGACATATTTGCCCATAAATAACTTAAGATGCAAGAAATTTAAAATAACAGAAAAATTTAAAGAACCAATGTCCAGCTCTATTTTTTGATAGCCAACTTTATCATATTCCCTCAGTGGGAAAAGGATTCGGCCTCAAATCTTGCTTCACCACATCTTTTCCACTTCCTTGTAATGACAATCCATTTGAAAAGTCCACTCTAGCATAGATTACATCTCATGTGTCTTTGCTGTGAAAATAGCGAAAAGCTTGAGCAGGTGATAGAAATTTCTCGAAATTAATTTTGTTTTCTTGAAAATACTTGGTATTATGGGATTAGGAGCACATTCTGGTACACACACATTTCAGTCAATTCATGGGAAGGCTGATTGCATACACTTCGTGTCAAAATCAGTTGACTCTCAATATGCTTCCCACTGCCTGCATCAATATTAGCAGGAAGAAAGTATCCCTCTTTCACGTCCTTAACATCAGAACCAAGCCTTGTACTATCTTGCACATTTCATGCTCCACACCTCCCAAGTCATTTACTCCTTTAGCACCATAAAATATTTTCTTAATTGAGATAGAATTATTACAGAATTTGAACTATTCTTCATATTGCATCCATATCATAATTCGGTTGTTCGAATATGCAGTTTCACCATGCCACGCCACTCAATGTCACCATCCTCAGTGAAAATAGGCGGTCATAATAACTTTCGTCTTGTAAATCTGAATTCATCACTCTGTTCATCAACTTCAGTAAAACTTCAGCGTCGAAAATAAGCATGATATCTCAATCCTCGCCTAAATCAACATCCACTCCCTACTTGGAATTGAAAAGAAAGAAAGTGCTCGTCATTGTTGGAGTCCTCTGCCGATTTGTGAACCATTGCATTTCTGTGAAAATCGTTAACCTGCTTGAACAACTTCGTTTGTTGTCACAATTGTTCCAACACCATCGCTCGAAGACAGAGATGTTCTAACCGTCTCTATCATGGACACAACTGTGATTTCATAACAATCTGATGTAGCAAATTATGCGGCGTGATGATTAAATGAGAAAAATCTTGAAAAATATTTCAATATTCTATTACCAACCAAAAAACCACAAACTATGAAGTGTTCAAAACAAAATCTTACATAGGCAAAAACCCTAAAAGTGCAAACGACAAATTTGCCCTAAATAACTTTGATAACTAAACAAGGAGAATCGAAAGAGCCAATGTCCGGCCCCTATCTTTTGCTATCTGACTTTTTCAATTCCGAAATTTGGTTATTTAATGAAATGCTTTAAAGGGGCTTGTACAAATAGGTGCCCTATTGGCGGTTTATCTGAATACAATTGTCGTTTCACCTTTTAAACGTACAATGTGGACGCCATACCTTTAGTTGATTATTTATTGATTCTGTTGTTTTTAGCTGCTAAATCTATTGCCTATTGGGATTCCCTTGTTTCAGTAGCGCATGCCTGAAGCTTGAAGAATATTATTCTGCCAAAGCAACTTTCGAAAAAGGTTCTTCCTTAGCAAATGATGAAAGATTTTCCACATTGATTAAAGAATGTGAAGAACGTATTGCAGGTACATAACACATTTTTGTCTCCAGTCTATGTTTGATTATTTACTTTATTATCGACTAAATCTTTAGGGCCTGCTTTTTTTTTTTTACCGATTTTGGTTTTTGGTGGCACTGGTTTGGATGGTTTAAGAACCAGCCAAAATGACCAGTTTTCTCAACCCACCAAACGACAGTTTTTTGTTGTCTCATTCTCTTATAACATATTTTGTTCAAAACTATTCTGTAAATAAAAATATATCAATTAAAAAAATCACATTATAATGAAAAAAAATATTTATAAGTAAAATTTTTACTTTTATAAGAAAAAAATCATTTTTTTGTAAAAAATTGTTTATAAAGTAAAAATACCACTAATATGATGAAATTCACTTATAAAATATAAAAAGTTATTTTTAGGTAAAAAATTCATTTGTGTATAAATTACTCCTTCCGTTCCATAAATATAGTCTTGTTTTCCTTTTTCGTCTATCCTAAATTATAGTCATGTTTCTTATTCGAGAGTGTACTTAATATATTAGTTTCATAATATACCCATATTTAATGTGCTTTGTTATTAAAAATATAAACCCTCCATTATTCAATTGTAGTTGGAATAATAAATTAAAAACCAATAAAACATTTCTATCTTTCATGACATATATTTATTTGTATTTGTATTGGATGACTTTGGAATATTAATTATCTTGATTCTTGCATTAAATAATGACTGATACCAAGAATAGTTTAATTACCTTGAATATTGCATGCATAATTTAATTACCTTGAATATTGTTTACATTAATGTAGGAGTATATTAGGAAAAATGATAGTAAAATTTATTATTTTAACTATATTAACTAAATTTTCTTAATCTGTGTAAAAAAAGAAATATGAATATCTTTTTGGGACAGAGGGAGTATTTAAAAGTACAAAATTAGCTTATAATTGTAAAGTTTATTTATAAGTAAAAATAAATAAAATTTTATGTAAGTTTTATTTTTTAAGTTAAATATCAAAAAAATTATCTATAAATAAAATATCATTTATTAGTAAAAAAATTTATACAAGAAACTATAGACTGAAATTTCACTAAAGGACATGTATGTAATTTTATTCTTTAAAAAAAATTCGGAATCGGTGCATAATGAACTTCCAAGCATGGATTAGACTATTTTAAAAACTGCTACTAAAACTATTCAAAATTGTCCTGCTTATAAACGCTCAAAATTGATACTTTAAATTAGTTCATAACCGGTACCCCAAAACTCCCAAGCAGGCCCTTAACATCCCTATTTTCCTTGGATTGTATTTTGCAAATAGTGAGGACCAGATGATTAATTGGTCAGGCGATTGATATTGAATAATGTAACGAAAGCTTTTTAATGGAAGAAAATTTTGTAGATTAAGGAAGTTCTACCAACGACTAAAACTTTCCATGATGGATCATTCTATAGGCCAGTAATTATGCAGAAATAAATGTTTTAGTGAGTTCCAAATTTGGTAGTGAGCTGATCAAATTTTTTGCGATTTTTAAAATTTTTCTGTTTTCTTAAAATTTAGGTTCCTTGAAGGGGCCTAGGGAACTGCATTGTGCATTATGCAGATGCTAGAGTGACAGAATAATAAGAAACCTTTTTGCATAATTTGAGTTAGTAGTTTACAATAAAATATGTTTTATAGCCAACCTCATGGAAGTGTCACATATTATTATTTTACTCTGCAATATCTGTTGGTTTTAAAAGCAAACGGTTGATGTTTTGTTCTATGCCACTTCAGAAGAAAATCGTGATCTTGGTTCGTCGGTGTCAGATACAGTACTTCAGTCATCAGATAGAAATTCTGGAAATTTGAAAGTAGCTGTAGAACAAAAGAATGGAACACATCAGAGGAAAGAAATGTCAGCTGTCAACCCGAAGTACAGGTAACACAAGTTCTATGTCATTTAATGTTAACAGTTTCTAGCATTTTTTTCTGAGATCCTGTGCTGGAAGCACAAAAATATGAGTTGAAATTCTGAAAGAAATGCTATATGTGCACCGTTACATGGAAGATAGAACTTAATGGCATGGCTTAATGGAATATCACATGTTCAAGTTGCAACTGGTATATGCAAAAATCATGTTTTGATGTGGCTCCTAATTCATTTATATTTTCCATACTTTCAAAGTATCTCAAGCAACTCTTTAAACTTAAGATGTTCTTTATCTTAGAGAGTCAAACCTTGAAATTAGTCTCCAATAGGCTCTTTTAATTTTTTGTTTTTAAAATAGAGAGTGAATTTGGCTCCCTACATTTGGAGAGCCAAACCTACTCTCTATTTGTATTTTATAATGCTTACATTTAACAAATTTCAAGTTTCAATGCACCATCACTTAAATTATTTAAGTTAGATTTGAATAATTTAGCTATTTATATTGAAAATATATATAGCTTGTTGGAGTGTGTAAAAATTTCACTCTTTAAATTTAAAGATGTTCTCTATTACGTACAAGATAAAGAGTCTCTTGGAGATACTCTTGGCAATTGCATCTCTCACTCCCCCACCCCTCCCAAAAACACGCACATAGGAAAAAAATAACAAATTAAAAAAGAAACACTCAGAAAGTCAAACCTTCTTTTGGTATGATCATGCTTTTGTTGCTGGTGGTTGTGTGAAATACTGTGTTATTACTTGGATTTGATGTGGGTATTTTAATGCCTCGCCCTTTATTTTTGGGTTTGGGCAACTTTCCAATATTTTGCCATGTTTGCGATCTAGCTTTTTGCTTACTCTTCTGGCATAATGAAGTTGACTGGACCATTGCGCTTAACAGGCATGCATTCTATCAAAAGTTAGAGGAGGTGGTTGTGACTATTTTTGCCAAGGGTGTACCTGCTAACAACGTGACCATTGGCTTTGGGGAGCAGATAGTGAGTTAATCACGCCTTTGCTTTTCTCAAGTTTTGCATGTTCTATCATACAGCTTTATTTCTTATTTAATTTAGTGCTTGTTTGGATCATAAGTTGCTGAAATTATAATGTTATACAAATGAGTGGTGGATGAGTGGATACTAGTTGTGGGTCCAACAAAATGTGTGGTTAATAAAGTGTGACTTTGACCTTTAAATTATAATGTGATTATTAGGTTTCTCAAACAAGCACTTATAACCCTCGATTTATTGGAGATTTATGGGTTTTTTAATCTCAATATGAAATGTAAGCTAAATTGGTGCGTTCTTCGAACAGTTAAGTGTTACCATTGATGTACCCAGTGAAGATGTTTACCACTTTCAGCCACGACTATTTGGAAAGGTACTGATGCAAAAATTTGCATAGAGCTATAAACTGTTCATTTCTTACAAATTTTCTTGTTGCCTGCACGACAGATTGTACCTGATAAATGCAGATATGAAGTGTTATCGACCAAAATTGAAATACGCCTTGCAAAAGCAGAACCAATTCACTGGACATCTCTTGAGTACACAACAGCAGCAGTAGTCCCACAAAAGATAACTTCAACCACTGGTGAATCATATTGCCATTTATCTGTTTAAATTTTCACTAAAGATAATTAAACTTTATGGTTCATCTAGAACATCATGTTTTGCAACTTCTCAGCATTGATGTAAGCATATGTGGTTAAGCCTTGGCCAAAAGTTATTTTTAAGAACATCTTTTAAACTTTGTTCTTTGCTTTTAAGAAAATGTTACTTTTTCTCAGCACTGTTTCAGAGTGTCAAACCAAGAGAGTGTAGATATATCTTTTAAAAACATCTTTGTTTATTAGTGTCTCATTTGTTCTTTTACGAACTTTGTTTCAGAATCTTATAGGCCAACATATCCATCTTCAAAGCCCAAAAGAGTAGATTGGGACAAATTGGAGGCCCAAGTGAAGAAAGAGGTCTCAATGAACCCATCTTTAATTGAGAATTATTAAATTTATTTCGACTATTATGCTTTAGATTTATAATATATGTATGCACTGTTTTGGTTTGACGCTTCAATTACTTGACGTATTCTCCAAATTCCAGGAAAAAGAAGAAAAACTAGATGGAGATGCAGCATTGAACAAATTTTTTGGGGACATATACAAAAATGCCGACGAAGACATGAGAAGAGCCATGAATAAATCTTTTGTAAGATTCTTTATCTAATTTTCCTTCCCCTAATTTATAACAGAAAAAGTTGCAAGACACCTGAAGGTTTTGGGAATTAATTTCTAATGATTTATTTTATAGTTGTCTTACATATTTAGGAAAATTATGGATAGTTGTGTTACATTTATAGGAAAACTAAAGATTCAGATTTATCAGCAAACTAGGATCTAATTAAACTAAGGCCTGAATTTGTTGGATCCAAAATTTAATCCCTGTTTGACTAAATCAATCCAGATGTGCCAACACTTCCCTCAAACTGGAATGTGAATATTCTTCTTCCTAGTTTGTCTAGAGTCAGGTGTAGGGATGTACTTGGTAGTTCTTCTATAAGTACATCCGCAACTGCTTCTCGGTGAAAATATAAGGCATACGTAGCAGTACATCTTATAACTTTTCTTTAATGAAGTAAAGGTCAATTTCCACATGTTTTGTACATGTACTGGATCATGTGCTAAATCATCTAAAATGATCTTTATCCAAAGAAGCTCACAAACACCTTACGCCGTAGCCCGAAACTCCACTTCTGCATTTGATCTTGCCACTACTGCCTTTTTACTCCTCCAATATACAAGGTTTCGTAATGTGGAGCACCCTGATGTTGATCTACGATCCACAACTGATCCTGCCTAATCTGCATCAGTGTATGCTTCAATATTAAGTGAAGTCCTCTTGCATAGTATATTCCCTTTTAAGCTATGCCTTTCAAGTACTTAAGTATTCTGTGGACAGCTTCTAGTGTTGCTCCCTTGGTTAGTGCATAAATTGACTTACTAGACTCACTGCACGAGCTATATTAGGACAGGTGTGACAAATAAATCAATCTTCCAACTAATTAAGTGATATCAGAATGGATGTGCGACAAATAAATCAGTCTTCCAACTAATTAGTGATATCTCCCTCTATCCACCTTTGTATCTTCTAACTGTTCTCCTAATTTATGAGATAGTTCGATAGGAGTTTCAGATGGCCTACGTCCCAGCATCTCTATTTCTTGTAGTAGATCTACGACATTTTTTTGTTGAGAAATAAATATGCCTTTTTCTAGAATGTGCCACTTCTATCCACAAAAGATTTCTGTCTTCCCTCCCAATTCTTTAATCTCAAAATCAGCTGCTAATCTCTTCACAAGTTTACCAATGTCCTCAAGATCATCTCCTGTTGTGTTGATATCGTCTGTGCTAATCTCCAATAAATTTCTTTCTTGGTAAGAGTTACTTTCAAACTAAGCTTTTCTAAATGTGTTTAGAAACAATTAAAGATTAGCTGCTTAGACAAATGTACTCGGAAATTCTTTAAATTGATGGCTGCTGATGGAGGATTGTTATTTTCCTGTAGATTGAGTCGAACGGTACTGTCCTGTCAACAGATTGGAAAGATGTTGGTTCAAAAGAGGTGGTGGGTAGTCCACCTGATGGTATGGAGCTGAAGAAATGGTAGTGCTGAGTTTTAATGTGAATTGTGACTCTTTTTGTTCAATTTTTGAGCTAAAATTTCCGTTTGCTGCAGAATCATCACTGAGTGCTTTGTTAAGTTGTGAATTAAACATTGTGCATTTGGTTTCCAAGCATAACAGTTGTATTATGTTATATTTGTCTATTTGTTTCAACACAACTTCGAAAACGTAATTTGTCTTGGTATTTGGAAATTTTTATGATAATTTTGTTCATACACTATGCTGATATGAATGTTACTTTTCTTTTACATATGAAATCAACGTATCACCTAGAAGTTGAACATACTTCCACAGATTGAGACACCCACCCGCACAATGTTCCATTGCCTCTAAAACCCACAGAACCCCATTCTCTACTCCATAGTGTTTCTTCTTCCCCATTCTATAAACCCGATAAGCATATTTGGCCTGATTTTTACTCATCTTCCGTACTTCAAAGCCTTTTTTTCGTATCACGGAAAAAGCCATGTCGACAAATGCTTAGCATACACTGCTGCATTCGCTGTGTCCTAATCCGTGTTTATACTGGTTTTTGCACTAAACGTTGTGAAAGTCAAGTCTTGAGGTCAGGCTCGATGCCATTGCAGTCCAAAGCTTCAATTCGAACTACACGTACTCACCTTCAATCGATTTGGATTACTAGCTCAAACTTCCCAAGGTTTTTAAAGTCGAGATGAATAACATGCTTTGAGTACAGCTTTTATTTGACCTCCATTTTCTTAAATTCATTTTTCTGCAATTTTATTTGTAACTGTACATTCAATCAAGTAAAGTAATTTTCTCTAGTTTTTAATAGTACATTCTTGAGAAAATAATTTTTCATAAAATCTTTACCGAACGGGGCTTAATGTTTCAATGAACATAATTTGGAGTTTTGGATGTGGGTTCCATTTTGTCGACATACAAAAAATGAGGCTCAATTAAATGGTATAAGGAATGAAGTCCAGTTAGGAAATTCGAAGGATGAAGCCAAACAAGACCATATAAAAATCTAAGGTGGAGTTATGTTACGAGGGTCCATCATCGTTCAAGCTTATGAGATGCTCAAGATCTGGGCAAATCCATCATCGTTCAAGCTTGTGTGACGTCCAAGATCTGGACGAATGTAGTGTATTGATTGCTATTCGAAGCAATGGTTATTGAAGTAGTTAATGAGTAATTTTATCACATTCCACGATCCAAAAATCTCGATTACAATACATTAACCAATGGGAGTAATGGCAGCGGTTGAAAACAATAGTTTCTTGATAAGGCATCCATGATGAAGAAAGTGGGTAGTTACAGGATGATGGGTAGTTTTCAGAAGTTTTCAAACGGTTCTACAAGAGAAACTGTCAAAAGAATATAAAAGAAAGAGAATTTAGAACTGAGAGAAGATCAAACCGACTCTCAAGCAGAGAATTATGTAATTTCATATATTTTCTTCTTATTAACCTTCAATTACTTTGTGTGTTTGCGCCCCTTGAAGGCATTTCGTTTAGTCCATATTGTAATCTTCATAAGTAAAAATGTTGGGACTTTGTCTCGAGAGGTTGTTCCTCACACAATCGTCTGAACCATTTATAATTGTTATAGAGACTCAGTGTCCACGCAAAACAATTTGGCACACCCAATGGGACCATTGGTGTTTGAAGATACGAAAAGTGAAAGCAATATGACTCATAAAAACGCTGATCATGAGCCAGAAAGCCAACGAATAGTCCATTCTGTGATGTAACAATACGAAGAGCAGCAAAGTGCTTTATGAACAGAGAGACAGAGTCAAAGTCATTACGAGCCAATGACGGAGTTGAGTCCTCGAACCAAAGTCATTGCTTGGGGGAACTCACACATGATGTCTACAAAATGTTCATACATGGAAATGTTTGCTTAAAATGGAATGTACATTATGACAACATGACCAAACAACTGAACACTTTGAATGAAATCATGAATAAGTTAGTTGGCCAAATTTTTCAACCAGTTATGCCAAGTATGGGAAACCATTTTCAAGCCAGGACGATTATGGGACATATTTCCTCAGTCCTGGGTGCGAATTAAGGGGTAGAACCACATTTGACTCATCTACTTCAAGCCAGGGGGTAGTGGAATGACAAATTTGAATAGCGGTAATGGAATATCAAACTTGGGGGGTGACCTAAATGTAAGAGACAATGTCCAACCCAACGGACAGAACACCCCATATGTTAATGATGGTGGAAATACTCAGGCTAACGGTAATAATAGTTTAAATAACTACGCTTTTACCACAAACCAAGTACCAAACGTTAGGCGTCAAGTAATTCCACCAATAAACCAACACAAACGAGTCTCATATGATCTCAATGTTGTGTTGATGAATCAAATTATGGAATAGTACATGATCAAATAGCTCGTGGGACACGTCCTTTTATTAGGCCGACTTATACAAAGTCATATCCTAATTGGGTAGATCAGACGTATTTGTGGCCTAGAGGGTACAAGGTACCAGAATTTTCACTATTTACTGGTTTGGGAAAAGTTTCTACTCTGAAACATATAGGGCGATTCACACTGCAAAGTGGTGAAGTGACCTATTATCATAACATGAGGTTGTTCCCTAGTTCGTTAATAGGAGTAGCTTTCTTATGATTCATTAATTTGCCCACAAATTCTGTCCAAACATGACAACAACTAGAACAATTGTTCCACGCTCAGTTTTACAAAACTAAATCTGAAGTTACTTGGCTGACTTGGCGAATTTACGTCAAATGCCAAACGAATGGGCAGAAAGCTTCCTTCATAGGTTTAAGACAATTAGGAGCAAACGTTTTGTTCCTCTGCCCGAAATAGAATTCGTCCAAATCGCTCAAAGTTACTTGAGTTTTGATTTAAAAAAAGAAATTCCAAGACAGGGAATTTCCTGACCTTTTTCAACTGAGTGCTAACGTGATTAGATATGAATGTTTGATAAGAGAAGAAGAACAAATGAAAAACTCTAGCAAAGAGACTTATTATAGACCCAAATTTCGATGTTCATGCTGTTAATGTCGAATACTATAATTAAATAGAAGTATGTCTGGTCGAATTGATTAAGGAAGATGCATATGCTTGACCTATAATGACTAAATTTTGAACATCGGGTAAGAATGAGCCTGTAAAAAATGAAAACGGAAAGGCTAGGATATTCTCATTTGATGTGACCAAGATTGACCTTATATTCGATAAATTGTATAAGGATAAGTTGATAAAATTGAGTGATAAGCATAAATTGTCAGACCCTGAACGAGTTAAAGGTAAAAAATATTGTAAATAGCACAATGCATGGAAACATATGACTAATAATTGCTTGATCTTTCGTCATGTGTTACAGGATGCTATCGAGTCAGGGTGAATCACTTTCGAAGCTAAAAAGAAAATGACAGTGGATGAAAATCATTTCCCATAGCCACTTGGGGTGAATATGGTGACAACAGGTTTCAAACATAAGTTGTCAAGATATAAGTTGGTTGTAGATGATGGAGATGAAAATCCTGGGCCACATCCCGTGTTTTTGAATGTATCAATGGGAAGGAGCATAAAAAGGACGGAAGCGTCCTGTGTGCTAGATGCAAGGGAGAAGTGAATGCAAATATAAAGACCAGGAATGTGGCGATATCACCATGTCCTGATGTTGTCCCAAATTTCCAGCCCGGTGGAGGACGGAATAGGTCATTCTATAGGAGACCGCCTTTTGAGAGGCAATTCAGACTGATAAACAATGGGAGAACGTTTAGGTCACAAACTCGCCAACCAAATGTATGACATTCGTTCCAATATAATGCAGGAAGGGTTGTACCCTTCAACGAAATGACCAGAATCCAACAGAGGCTTTTTCAACGGAACTATGGACGAATGATGAAGCAACAACAGGGATTGCCATGTCCTAAGGCACCTAAATTGCTCGAGGTGGTTAATAAAAATGTTCTTGAAGATAATAAAGAGGCCGATATGGGTGAATCAATGGAAGAGTTACTAGAAAGGTCTTCCGAGAGATCAAAATTTGGGCGTACGAAGAAAGATAAAGAAGATCCAGAACAACCCCTCACTATTCAGTTCGGTACATTACCTTCTGTTATGGCTAATAATTATTTATTAACTAATGAATTCAAAGTAAGGAAAATGAAGATGAGGAAAGAGAGGATAACAAGGAAGAAGTGCTCGTGACCTACGAGTCGAAGATCGACTCGTGCCCAGCTCGTCTTTTTTTTTTATACTACACTACTCTACTACTAAACTAAACCTGAAATTCAAAAAATATATATATATACACACATTTTCTAATTTGTTTTGAAATATACATTTTCAAAAACAATTATAATTTTAAAAATAATAAGAAAAAATTTTTATTTGTTGAGTGTTGTTTTTTGTTTACCCTTTTATACTATATTAAAGATTTAAACTTAAAAAAAAATATATAAACACATTTTGTAAACATTTTTTTAAATATACATTTTCCAAAATATTTTTATTTTTATTCGGGCTTGAGGCTGGCTACTTCAATTTCGAGTAGACGGAGTTAAAAATTGTACACGAACAACTTGTTACGTGTACAATTTTTTTGAAAAAATTATAAAGGTATGAAAATAAAAATTTGTGATGAATGCGGTGAAATTAAATATCACTTACTTGATTACATGTAATTTCGACATATTTATCTTGAATTTGATAATTAGCGTCTTCCTAATCGTTCACGCACATTAACGCTTTCAAAATATCTTCTTTTAGTCGAATCCTGACCTCAAAGAGAACCCTATTCCCTGCACTAATAGCAGACTCTGAAACTACAGTGCTAACCAGAGGTGTTAATAGATATTTTGCAATTCCAGAAACTATTGGCCATCTGCGTTCGTTATTTCGCCAGAATTCAATGACATCTTCTGAACTTTTCCTAACTAAAGCATTTGAAATTTGATCAACACAAATTTAGTACCCGATAAATTATATCGGGGGTTCAGACGCATGTTAAAGGAAATAACATAGGTAATTCTTCCTAATATTTTCTAAATTTTAATTTCATGGAATAT